TCCTCTGTAACAGACATGCTGGAAAGTCATTTCCCCCGTTTTCAATAATGCAAAGAGAATTTCGGCCTCATCTCCACCTGACCTCTGACCTTTGGGCCGTTCTGGTTTAGAGGAGATTTATCGCTGCACCAACTGTTCACCCACACAGAGATCGTACCAGGGAGAGAGGATTTGGATAACCCACCTATGAACAGTGTCCAAATGTCCCTGAAGGCAGCAGGAGTGTTCGCAGCCTGCCTGAATCATAGCTCAGGGTGATGAGCAGAGTTGTCGACCTCTCCGTCCTCACTGACGTCTTTTGTGTCCTGCTTTCAGAGCCGGTCATAGAAGCAGAGAAGCAGCCTGAAGCAGCAGCAGACGTGGATCCACAGAGTGAGACGCCCAAACAGACGGAGGCCGAGGGTGAGCTCGCCGAGCTCGCCTGAGCAGACACGTTTCACTAAAGCCAAATAAAAGGAAACACATGAGACGCCAACATTATAGTTGGGTCCAGATTTACTGATTTATTCTGAGTTGAATGGTTCTGTCCAGAGGAGAGCGCCCCCTCCAGCTGAGCCAGCAGAGACATGATCTCTGCAGCGCCTCCTCCCAGTTAGACGCGCTTTAACCTCCTGCTGCTGCTTTCCTTCCCCTCGTGCATGGATTATGCTTCATCAGGAAATCTGGGTTGTAGTGTACAACATGACTCCTTCCACCTACCTTTGAGACATTCAGTTAAACTGCATCATAATTTTAAGTTTGAAATCTCACCCTGCACCACACACCCGGACACAAAAACCAGACAAAGCGGCTGAAAAGCAAAACCGTCTCCATCTTTGATGATAACGCTGTAATTCTGTGTCCGTCCAGGAACCTCAGAGAAACAGGCCGAGGACAAGCTGACAGAAAAAGGTGCAAACTGACTGTAACGTGCAGATTTTCAGCTTCGTGCTTTTTATTTCTCTGCAGTTTTATCATCAAATCTTTTCCTCTCTGTTGTTTCTCCAGCAAAGAAGAAGAAACCAAAATTACTGAACAAGTTGGATAAAACCATCAAAGCAGAGATCGATGCTGCAGAGAAGCTTCGCAGGAAGGTACAAAATCTAAATACATAAATTACAGCTGCAAACAGCTGCACAGACGGCTGAGCCCGCCTGACGCTGCGCTCAGCTGTCTGCAGGTTTCCTTCACGATCATCTTCAATCAGACATAAAACACAAAGCTCATGTTCAGCCCTCAGCAAGCTCTCGTCTTCCTGACAGTTTGAGTCCAAACGAAACAGTCTGGTGAACCGCAGCATGTCTGAGAGACTCGAGCTGCAATCTTCTGCTCCTGAACTCGGACACAACCAAAGTCACTATCCTGAAAACCTGCTTAGTGTTGCTTTGCACCGTTCAGCCTCAGTTTGGTCTGTCGGTCACGTTTTCTTGCTGCAGTCGGGTATTGTGGTGCAACTAGGAGCTGTATGAAAATACCAAACTAGTTTAAAATCAGTCTGCTCGTTACATCAAACTCCACTCGGTTATCAGGGCTGTTAGTTCTGCTGCGACAGGCTCACAGTGCAGAGGTCACTTCCTGTCAGGGTTCTTCCTCCCCACGGTTGCCAGATGCTGCTCATTGAATGCCTGCAGCCTTTACACACATCTGACACTACCAGTCAGGAGTTTGGACACGCCTCCTCATTAAATGTTTTTTCTTTGTTTGTTATTTCCATTGTAGATTCTCACTGAAGGCATCAAAACTGAGTGAACATGTGGAGTTATGTAGTAAACAAAAACTTTGAAATGACTCTAAACATGTTTTGATTCTTATAAACAGCCACCCTCTGCTTTCATTACTGCTCTTCACACATTCATCAGGTCGCCACTCCTCGTGTTGCTTGGCCCAAACAACGTCTGCTTGTTGCTTTTCCTCACTCCTGGTTTCTCAGCAGCTGATTCCCACAGCCTCCTCTGAACATGCAGAGACGTGTCTGCTACTGGAGCTCTGTGTGGCATCCATCTGGGCTCTGATCTGAGCTGCTGTGAACTTGTGATTTCTGAGGCTGGTGACTCGTATGAATGTATCCTCAGCAGCAGAGGGACTCTGGGTCTTTCCTTCCTGCGCGTCCTCGTGTCAGACAGTTTCATCGTAGTCTTGATGGTTTTTGTGCGACTGCACTTGGGGACACATTCAAAGTTTTAGCGATTTTCTGGACTGACTGACCTGCAGTTCTTAAAGTCATGATGAACTGTAGTTTCTCTTTACTTAGCTGATTGTTTCTTCCCATGATGGGAATTCTAACAGCTGTCAAATTGGCTGTCAGCTGTGCACCAACCTGACTGCTGCACAACGCAGCTGATGGTCAAACCTCCGTTAAGAAGGCAAGAAACTCCACCACAGGACAACAGCACAGGGTTCTTTGCTGCATGATTCTATGTTGCTCCATATATTTGATGTCTCTACAATGTATCAACAATGTAGCAAGAAGTAAAATGATGCAAAACAAAGGCAACAGTTCAACGAGCCGCAGATCAAACGGTAAAAGAAGGCGGTGACTTTCTTATTCGTCTCAGGAATAAACATTCGCGCCAACGCCAGCATTCAACCTGCTGAGGCTGTGATGTAATCAGTGTGTCTGTCCCTCTGTCAGGGGAAGCCGGACGAGGCGCTGAAAGCGTTTGAGAGGCTGGTGCAGCAGTACCCGCAGAGCCCCCGCGCTCGCTACGGGAAAGCCCAGGTATGCGACGGTCCCGCATCACGGCGAGCTGATACTGCGTCGGGCGCACGACATTAACACGGTTCTGTGTGCAGGCAGAGGACGACATGGCCGAGAAGCTGCGCAGCAACGACATGCTTCAGAGGGCCATCAACACCTACAGGGAGGCCTCCGAGCTCCCTGACGTGACCTCTGACCTCCTGAGAGCCACGCTGAAGAGACGAGCTGAGAGGCAGCAGTTCCTGGGTAACGCGCACAGTAATGCAACACAAATGTAGTAAAAGCAATACATATATGAGCGCAGTTACTAAATAATCTAAAGGCTCCGTGGCCAGTATGGGGCTTGAACACAGAGACCGTGGAGAGGCCGTGTACCCTTCCTGTTTCCATTTGACCTTAGGTAATAACCAGAGCTAACCCACCACACTACCTTTCCAGTATTCTGACGTCCTCTTATATTCTCAGGTCGGATGCGAGGATCTCTGGCGACCTTGGAAAGGCTGGTTCAGCTCTTTCCTGAAGACATCGGCCTGAAGAACGACCTGGGCGTCGCTCACCTGTTGCTAGGTGACAACAATGGGGCCAAGAAGATCTACGAAGAGGTGCGCGAATGGCAACGGCTTTAGCACGCACACGAGTTATTTCAGGTTTGTTTTGGCGGTTCTCTTCTGTAAAGGTCTCTGATTGGCTCTCTGTTCTCTATGCTCCGTCCACTAAGGTTCTGGGAGTCGCGCCTGACAACGGCTTCGCTAAAGTTCACTACGGATTCATCCTGAAGTCAGAAAATAAGATTGCAGAGAGCATACCGTACCTTAAAGTAAGCACACACATTTTCATGTTTGTGTGCACATGTGGGACCTTCAGCGTGTGTTTCACCAACGTGATGGGGACTGCGTTACACATGGTCAAAGAAACCACATTTACTTTATGAAATACTAGATTCAAGAAACAAATGGGCAAGAGAAAAGTGTTTCCTGCTCTGGATGTAAACTTTAAAATACACACAGTCTGCCTTTCCTTGTTTCCTGTCATATATCTCCTGTTTCAAAGTTGGATGTCCACACTAAACACAGCCAAACTTTAAAGGAAAGGATATCTAAGCCTCAACCACGGAGAAATGTGAATCGTGCAGAATTTGAACGTCACGTTTCCCCTTCTCTCTCTCTCCAGGAGGGCTTGGAGTCAGGTGAGCCGGGAACCGACGACGGGCGCTTTTATTTCCACCTCGGAGACGCTCTGCAGAGGGTCGGGGACAACAGCGTGAGTAACGCCTGCCTTTGAGATATTTCACTCGCATTTACAGGCCAGTTACACCTCAGCACGTCACATCAAACCTCACAGGGATGCCACTGCAGCCGTGTTAACGACACGAGTGTGCGATCGCATCTTCACACCCAACTTTGTGAACACAGCAACCCGAGGCCTTCGTGTTATTAGTATCACACTCTGTTGGCCCATAGTGATGTTACTGCTCTCGTTGTTCAGGGTGCAGCACACAGTGAAAACGTGGTGTCTGTTTCTGGGCCAACACAGTTGTCGGTGACGTAGCTGAGCTAACGTGGCCCAGATGAAGACTCGGTCTGGGTTTGAGTCTGCAGCCAGTTTCTCCACATGTTCCTGTATTTAACCAGCGTCTGAACAATGAGATGCATGTTTTAAAAAAGCTTTTCTTTAAATCGAGACCCAGTGAAGGAGCTAACAAGCTATGTGAGGCTTAAAGTTACACATCATGGCCAGTATGAGGCTTGAACCGTGACCTTGGCGTTATTAGCACCACGCTCTCACCGTTTATTGTGGTGTTGTCCTGAACGCGTCTGTGTCTGCAGGCGTACGACTGGTACGAGCTGGGTCACAAACGGGGCCACTTTGCGTCGCTGTGGCAGCGATCGCTCTACAACGTGAACGGCCTGAAGGCGCAGCCCTGGTGGACGGCCAAAGAGACCGGATACACGGACCTGGTGAAGGTGCGCTGCCGGGCTGCCAGAACATTCACGTGTGCGATTTCGAGGTTTTAAACGTCGGCCATTTTCTGTGTGCCGCGTTCAGGTGTTGGAGAGGAACTGGAAGACCATCAGGGAGGAGGCTCTGGCTGTGTTGGACCAAAGCACCAGACACTTTGTACCCGAGGAGGAAAACCTGAGGGAGAAAGGAGACTGGGGCCAGTACACGCTCTGGCAACAAGGTGCACGGGAGATATTTTATAGTCCATCAGGTGTTGTCCTGCCTCTTATTACAGGTGTTACTGTCCCCTTTTTCTGTCTGTGGGAGGCATCAGGGCGTTTGTGTTTTTTACAGTTTTTAGATGTGACTAACAGCTGTGTTACTGTGTTTATCAACAATGTCTTTTCTCCTTTGTGTTCACGTTCAGGGAGAAAAGTTGGAAACGCCTGTCAGGGTGTCCCGAAAACCTGCGCACTGCTGGAGAGGTTCCCTGAAGCGACGGGCTGCAAGCGAGGACAGGTACAGGCTGTAAACACGGTTATTTCTGCGGTGAAGTTTGGGATTTTAACAGGCAGACTCACTGTGGGAGCCCCAAGTGGTCATTAGTGGAAGTGCAGTTTGTGTTCCTCTCGTAGGTTTAATAAACACGGCACATAAGCGGTCCACAGGTGCGCATTCGCTGTCAGAATAGGTGAGCTGGCTTCAAACAAGGGATGAACGCACAGGGATGTGGTGCAGAATGTGCCGTGAGAATCCCACAGCAGCGGACAAAACACTGTTTTATATGCACGCAAACACGCGCTGCTACTTCTTATCTGGTGCGTCTTTTATTTTGACAGCGAATGCACACCTGCAGACCACTTATGTGCAGCCCTGTTAATAAAGGTCAGGCAGGGCTTGACATTTACAAACAGCAGGGGGCGATAGAGAGCAGCAGACGCCAGGGAAAAACCAATGAGATGAATTTTGACGCTGTTGGCTCGCCGTACACTAAAAAGTTTTTGGTGTGAAGACGAAGGAAGGGGCGTGTCCTCTGCAGCGTGTGCTCTGAGGATGAGGAGAGTGTCTTCACTCTAAGCTGTGAAGGTTAATCCTGAAGGAACAGCTGTGCAGATGTGCCATGAATGTGATTTCTCGTAGCGTTTCACGGTCTGAGGCGACTTGCCGTGTTTGATCCACTCTTCCTGTCTCCGTGCAGATTAAGTTCTCGGTGATGCAGCCCGGCACTCATGTGTGGCCGCACACCGGGCCGACCAACTGCCGGCTGAGGATGCACCTCGGCCTCGTCATCCCCAAACGTGGCTGCAAGATCCGCTGCACCAACGAGACGCGGTGCGCCGCCCGCCTCCATCGCTCCCGTCCTCCTCCTCCATCATCAACCTCTTCTCCGGCTCTCTTCATTTCCTTTTTTCCTTCATCATGTCTTCCTACTCTCCTCGTTTTGCCTCCTTTTCTTCTTTCCTCTCCTTGATTTGTCACCTAATTCCTTCTTTGTCCTCTCTAACCTTGTCTCTTTTCCATGTTTCCTATCCTTGCTGTTTCTCTTGTTCTCCCCTCAATTCAACCTTTTATGTTTCCTTTTCTTGTCTCGTCATCTTTACTTTCCTCTCTTTGTTTCCTTCTCTTTTCCTTTCCTTACCTTTTGTGTTTGGTTCTTCTCTGCATGTCTCTTCTCCTTGTGGAGTCCTCCCTTGCTTCCTTCCTTCTGCCCTGTGTCTCCCCACTTGTCTCTTTCTTTATTTCCTCTTTGTTTCCTTTTCTTGTAACCTTCTCCCCTTCCTGTGCTTCTTGTCATTTCCTTATCTGTCCTCATTTCATCTCCTAGTTTCACCTCTTTCTCTTATTTCCTCATCACCTTGCCTCATTTCCTTCTGTTTTGCTGAGGAAACTCTTGTAAACCCTTCTTTTGCGTCCTTGTCCGCAGGGAGTGGGAGGAAGGTAAAGTCCTCATCTTCGACGACTCCTTCGAGCACGAGGTTTGGCAGGAAGCCGACAGTTACCGCCTCATCTTCATCGTGGACGTGTGGCACCCGGAGCTAACGCAGCACCAGCGCCAGACTCTGAGCCCGATTTAGATCGGCCAGAACCGGCAGGCGGTGGCGGGAGGGCGAATCGCAGGAGAGGATGGAGGCGGGGTTTCTTCTTCTTCTGTGGTTCAAACAGCTGCAAACACTGACAGTCTGTGTGAGCCGGGCTGAGGTGTCTGTTTGCTCGCGTGTGGATAAACTACTAAAGACGGTCGAAGGACCAAACATCAGCCTGAAGGATGGACGCGTCGTTGTTCGGGGTCATACTACTGACTGCCATCAAACTGAACTCATACGGTACTCGATTAAACCGGAGCGGACCGGATCGCCGCGGCATTACAGATCGTTCTGCTCTGAAGAAAGACACGAAACTAAAAGAGTGTGTGTGTGTGTGTGTGTGTGTGTGTGCTCAACGTAAAACACTAAAACGTCCGTCGAGTGGATTCAAAGCAGCTCAGTAACAGCGTGAAACAAGAAGCCTTAACTTTAGCTCGACCACGATGCATTTTATTTTCCATCCAGGCGGGTTTTTAATTTCACTCTTTCATCACTTTTGCACAATAACACGGTCACGCGGGGTGTCACAGAAGAGGATTTATATTTGTATTAAAAATAAAAACAATAAAAACATGAACAAGTCTCTGATTCTGTTTGTTCGTCTGACTTTCTTCCATTCCTTTGTTCTTCAGCTGATCTTACGGCGGCGGTGAAAGTGTTTGAAGGTGCGCTGGCTCTGGTTCCTCGTGCGGTGCTCCAGCTCGTCCGTCACGGGATTGTTTTAATCCTGAAAAGACTGAAACCTGGAGGCTGTGAAGCCTGTGCTCTCCAGCCCCGTTAGCCAGGCGTACAAACGGCACATACATTATTATGACTAAAGAAGGAAAAAAGTCGGGTTTACAGCCAAAAATAATTCAGTCAGCCCTTCAAAATAAAAGACACACTGTCAAAATAAAGCACACTGAGCAGTTTTGGTGTAAATGTTTACTTCTTTACATTCATTGAAAGGAAATACATTACGTTGGAGTCGAGTGGAGATCGGGTGTAGCCCTGATGACGAATCGTACACACTGCAAAAAAATCTGACAAAGTCACCGTTGTGTTTTTTACAAATACTCGACGGTATGTTCAGAGAAAAATCATCGACCTGCATGTTAAACTGAAACCTGAATCTTCTCTGCTGCAGGAAGTGAATCGACTTCAAAAATCTCAGGATAACATTTTAGCCCGGTGTGTCACTTTTTGCAGTGCAGTAATACTAATAACAATAATATTAATAATAATATACAATCTTCAAATACATTAGATTAAAAAACAACAAACAATCTTTTCCTTCACTGCAGGAGAGGTTAAAGGTGAGAGTTTGGCATCCTGTGGTTTCTCCACAGCAAAATCATTCCATGCATGTGATCCAGAGCTTTTATTTTAAAATGCCTGTGCAAAGTGGAAATAGGTGAAACTATTCTACCAAAGTGAAGTCTCCTTCACGCCAGCCTCGCTGGCTGAGCCGCGGGAACGTTCCCGCCTGCACTTACTTTCTTTCCTACGGAGATTTTGCAGAAAGATTTGGCTCAAATTAAACAGTTTTCATTCATATTCAGATAAAGATCATAAAAACTAAAAGTTTCTTTTCACATTCAGAGGTTTGAAGGTTGGGTTTCACCAAAAAGGATTTCCTTTAAACACAGACTCGCCTTTAAATTTATTCAAAATGTTTCTTTAAAGCAGCTTTTACTGCAGTTTGACCACTGGGGGGCAGCAGAGCACGCTCTGCATTTCAGACATCTGAACTGGTATCTTGTCTCCACGCCATCAATTTAGTACTGGGTGTCTTTTTGCTCCGTTTTTGGGCTCCACCACCTCCAGAGGGAAGCATTTATCTGTTTAGCTGCTGAGAAGCCACAGAGGCTTTTTCTTAAAGATTCAGACGTGCTGTGATGTCAAAAATAAACCCAAGATGTTCAATTATTATGTAATTAAAACACTATTTTATTCTTGATATTATTAAAGATTTCGAGTTGTTTAATTTACTATCAGCTGTATACTGCAGCAGTAACAAATGGGTGGGTGTAAGCTTAGCAATACATTTAATAGCTACACTACAAAAATATCTTATGTGCTAAATATAATAACCCTATGTAGATTTTTAGCGATAATAAATCTTTAATGTGATCTAAAACATTTAAAAATGTCTCATATTTTCGTTTTTATCTCCACTGTTACTCAGACACGTCGCAGATCTGTTCAGTGATAGAAAAACTGACATGTGAATTATAAAGTACATTTGCTTTTATTTGATGAAATCCCAGAAAAGATCCAGATATAACGCTGCTAATTTAATTAACTTGCACAAATGTGCATTATTGCTCATAAAAAGCTTTTCGAGTTATGACTCGATGAAACACAGACGTGAAGCAGCAGTGACTCACATATCGCTACGACGATGTTTGGCTTTTTGGATAAACGACCAAAACAATCTGAAAATAACTGTCTGCAGAACTTCCTTGAAAATAAGCACGATCTTAAGTTTCCTTCGGTATCGCAGTAACCCAGCAACAGCTACCTGCACATTTATGCACACACTGCGAACAGTAACTGCTAATACTGAATTCAGCTATTGGACTGATTCCATGGCAACCTTGTACTTCCTGTTTTTATCCCTGGAAGCAAAATGGGAACAGTAGTTTTCTTTGTGAGAAAACTAAATAACAGAAGGATTTAATGTTGTGACTGAATGTTGTCTCTGTTTAAATGAACCTTGTTGGTGCAACCCTCTCAAATCTAAATTTGATTGTAACTGTTTCTCCATAGCAACGTCTTTGTGAGGTTTTACATAAAGTTTCAACTCCGTCACATTTGGCCCTTTTTGTTTGTTTCTGACTCTGTTCACAGAAACTTCATCCTGTTGCGTATTTGAAGTCATGAGATAAACGCCGCTGGTGCACAACAGGCGATGACACAAACACACACACGTTTGATGTGTGTGTTTGTGTTGCTGCTGTTTGTTGTTGTGAACATCAGGACAGATACTGCTGGCTGGAGAGAGGCTCAGCTGAGAGGCATTAGACGGCTCAGAGACAGGTCAGACTGTGTGTGTGTGTGTGTGTGTGTGTGTGTGTGTGTGTGTGTGTGTGTGTGTTAACGTGGACGTTGTGTGTGTGCGTGTGTTCAGTCCAGGGCCAGTAGCGGTGTGCTGGTCTCTCTGTCCGTCTGTCGCAGAGTTCCTGGTTCCACCGCCGACTGAGACCTGAAACACAAACTCCTCCCATGAGATGACCAGCACACAGACTGTATATGAAAGATGGACATCCCACTGATTCAGCAAGCTAACAGAATACAGACTGTATATATATATATATGTGTGTGTGTGTGTGTGTGT